CACAGAAAATCCACCAGTGTAAGGTTGAGAAGAGCCATTGACAAAAAGAAGCAATGTTGGGAACCCCTTGATCCCTAGATTGGAAGCAACCTTAGGATACCTCTCAGCATCAATCTTGGCCATCACTATGGGACTTCCCCATTCCTTAAGAGCATTTGCGGCCTCCGCAAATTTAGGCATAAGCTCAGCACTTGTCTGGGACCATGGGGCATAACCCATGACCAGAACAAACTCATTCTCACCAATCGCACTCTTTGAGTTATCATTGTTAAGCTCAATCACTATTCTCTGAGCTCTGCTAAGAATCTCAGCCCCAGAAGAGGGCGTTCCTTCTTCTGATTCCTCGTCTAGGGCTATCAGTTCTTCAAGGTCTTCCACGTCACCATCACTGTCGTCATCGAGTGTGGTGGGGTCAGACGAGAGTGAAGTGGTGGCCAAGAATGTGAGTAGGATAATGAGTGTGAGGAAAAGGAGGGATCTTGAAGTGGGTTGTTTTGGACTGTACATGGTGAGATCTGCGTGGAATTTGTCTGAAGACCGAAGGGGATGAAATGCTGGTGCCTGCAAAGGCTGCAATGGTGTTATTGCACAAAATGTTGAAAATTTTGATTGGTTTGACCGCTGACATTTTGGACCGACCATGCACGCTTGCTGGTATGGTCTGTTTAAGTCTGACATAATTTGGTAAACGTGTGATCTCTTTGTATTTTATAACTATAAAAATCTGGTTGAGTCTGTTTAAGTCTGGTCTAATTTGGTGTAGTCTGTTTAAATTTAGTCTGATCTGATATAGGACTGAAAACAGTCTATAAGAAAACGTCTAAGTGAGACACTCATTCATGGACAATTTGACTAGCATGTAAAATGTTGTGCACAACCTGCTGTGTGCAATTTGTTGTGCACGAAGGATGATTGTAAGTGAGATCTTGATTAGTATGTACTACGTAGTAGATTTAGGGCTAAAACTTGACCAAGTTTGACTGGTAGAACATTAATGAAATAAAAATTGTGTGTTTGATGTTTGTGTAGATGAGAGGGAATTAACTAGAAATCTAGAACATTTTTCTATTTTTACTTAAAAGAGAAAATGACAAATAGTGTGATAACCAAACAAGAAAAGTTAACAAAATTTTAACATATTAAAGGAGTACTCCGTAATATATTTAGAAAGGGAAATTGCTCTAAAAGCCCATTAAATAGTACACGTAATTGATTCTTTGAGAGCAAAATTGAGTGGCCAAATGTAGTTATCATATTTTAAAGTTTGGAATGTCGCACTTCAATTGTTTAAATTATGGTAAATGTAATCTTTTTAAGTGTGAGGATCACATGAACAATAATTCACACAATTGAAGAATGACATTTACATTTTACATATTTGAAACATATTCTACATTTCAACATGATCGATGTTTGACTGGAATTGTGATATCCCCTATTTATAATATTGTCGAGTATCATTTAACCATAATATTATAACAAAAATGATGTTTGTACTCACTATTATACTCACTTTTGTACCCACCTATGTTTGTGAAATGTTTTTTTATGTGAATTCGGGTTCACAAACAATATTTTGCACAAATCAAATATTGTCTGTGAATCGGGTTCACAGACAAAAAGAAAACACTTCACAAACATGATGAGTATAAGAATAAGTACATCAAGCATTGTTAATATTATAATATAGCCTAACGAGTTTAAAATCACTTTAAAATTTCAATGCATAACATAACCAATGTTGATAGACTTCTTACGGGGAGAAGAATGTGTCATATCTTCCAACGCAATGGTCAACGTCGGATTGCCAAGTTAACAATCAGGAAGATGAAGAAGTGAATTTCAAGGACAGGCCAAGTTTGTGAATAAGAAATGTCGTCAATAATAGAAATAGTGTAAATGATAGAAATAGTGAATAAGAACAAATTATATTGCAAAAATATTGAATAAGAAATAGTGTTAATGATAGGAAAAAACAAATTTGGTGGTTTATATGAAGGTTTAGGAGTGATTTGTTCGTGATTAGAATTGACCTTATTTATTTTTGCATTCAGCAAAATAACTTAATTTTGTTTTGAATTCAACATTAGTGTAGAAGTAGTCTAATTGTAGTTAGTCTATACAAGAGTCAAAGCCAAATAGCTTAAATTGTGAGTTTGTTTTTATTTTTAAATGTAAATTTTCCTATTCACGACCACACAAATGAGGTCAAATAAAAAACAATGAAGTGTATAGAGCTCAAATCCACACTAAAATACTACTTATACCGTACAGCCCATTGTACCTTGCGCATGGTATAGTCGAACTTTTTTTAATTTCGTTGTGCACCGTTCTTCGGGGCTTTGCTCGCATAGTCGAATCTATAATGATGGAGCTCTCAACAATGGGCTTAGCACAATGATTCCTCCAATACTCATTTAGCGGAAATCACAAATTTCATTTAAATTACCAAAATGCAATCAATTGTACACCCACACCCACACGCGGTAATCCAATTTGGGTAAAATTGCTTTTATATATGTAGATCCGAATTAACTTGAGCAGAACTGGGCTGTTTCCTCTCAATGTGGTGTGCTTGAAAAAAAAAAATCTGCCCTCCGCTACATGCTGAGTGCCTGAGTTGGATACTTGGATGTAACTGGGCCAAGCGGCCAACATCTTACCAGGCCACCATTAACCACTGGATTAAAGATGAAGCACTACAGCCCAGATAGAAAGGAGGGGGGAATTATTTCTTTAATTCTTTACCTTCAAAACACATCAGAATGTAACATACTATTATACTAACATAGTAACATGCATGCGTGAAGATTGCGTGAACATCAAAACTCAAAATTGCTGATAAAAGAAAAGATAGAAATTGCATTGATGTACCCAACCAACGACAGCATAACGTTTATTACCAAAAATAGTATACTAGATCGTCATTCTCGCATGAAACGACTCAACGAGTATGTAATATCCGTATTATTTAAGCAATTAAGCTAAGTTTTTTTTTCTGAAATATGTCTTCCAAATAAATAAATGAACAAATAAATAAGTGTAGTTATGTGGTAAATCTCGTGATTATGTTACATTGTTCACCGTCTACACTCTACGTGAGCCAAGGAGGATCAGGATGGTCAGTCGACCCTCCTAAAAGTTTAAGAGTATAGAACATTGGAATACCTTTAATAATTTTTGAATCTCCTAACTCATTAGGAGTTAAAAAATTATGCCTTCTAAAAAAATCAACACTATCTAAACTTTAAATGAATAGATTTTGATGCTCAGTATTGATTATATTCTCAAATTTTAAAAATAGCATCTAATTCACTCTACGTGAAGTTTATAATTTCTACATGTATGTGTATCAAACTATACCTCTATCAATCTCATTTAAACTACCATTTATGTAAGTTACATATGAAACATTCAACTCGGTTGTCTTTTAAAAACAATCCATCCTTTTTATTATGCATTTAGTTAATTTTTGATGCTTTGAGACATTTTTCTGAATGAATAATAGATAAACTAAAACTTACATTGATCCCTCACAAAAGTCAATGATCAAACTTTAACTCTACCAAAGAGCTGCATAAGTTGTTACGTAACAAATAAATTGAAGCTTAAATTATGTCGGTCTCCTTACTCCTATCCCGACTTGAAATATCTAAAATATCTCTATCTGTTGCAAATCAAACAAACATAACTTAATCCAGAGTACTCAAATAAATAAACGAAATGCCATAAAACAGATCAAGGTTGCAAATGTAAATAAATAAAATAACAGCGAGCCAATAATGCTCAATCATTCAACATCCTAGCCTCATTCCATTATATTGGATAATGATTTATTTTCTCAATAGTTTTATTACTTTCTCCTTTGAATAATAAATGTGTGGTTCTGGTTAATTCTTTAATTACACAGTTTTTATTTTATTACTTTACGTTCTAATCAACTTTGACAAAATTATAGAGAACGAAGGGAAAATAAACACAGATGGTTTTGTTCTTGTTATAAATCTATTACTCTGTTGTTCTTGTTATTAATCTATTGGGGAGTATGGTTATAATTACCCAGTAGTGATAAGTAAGCCGTTATCCTTATCCACTTATTTCGGGTGTGTTGTCATTGCTGGCAGGCAGATGAGTTGTCCTGTTATGTAATCTAAATTTTGAATTTAGTACAAATTAAAGGCACACTCTTTTAGAGATAAAAAAGATAAAAAAAAATAAAATATATGTATGCGCCATCACTTATGAAACAGGACAAAAAAAAGAAGCAAATGAGGACAGGTATTTAACAGAAAAAGAAGAAAAATCAGGATAGTTTACATCTTTTCTGGGCTTCTTTCACCTCTTATCTGCTGCATATATAGTGAGAGATACATAGAGAGAGGAAGGAAGAAGAAGATGTTGGAAGGGAAAGCTGTGATAGAAGACACAGATATGCCAGTGAAGATGCAGATCCAAGCTATGGCCTGTGCTTCTCAAGCTCTGGACCTTTATGATGATGTTCTTGACTGCAAATCCATTGCTGCTCACATCAAGAAGGTAACTAAAACCACTCTAAACCATAGTCCATAACCCTCCCTCTCTAAGAATTATAAGAGGCCGTTAACCCCAGCCTTAAAATGACTAAATCACTGCTGTTTAATTGTGTTTATTTACAACTTAATTGGAAACAAGTCTTATTCAAAGTCTAAAAATGGCTTAATTTTCACCCCCATTATATCCCTCTAGAGCAACAGGTCTATAGCCCTTTTTTGTATGAAATGAAACATATAATGTGTATTAAAAAGTGAGAATCTCTATAGACTATGCCATTTAAATAACTTAATACAGAAATCCATCTTAATTTGGAACTTATTTGAATTATATATTGAAAAGTAAACAGATCCAACTAATAGTCACTCCTGGATAATGTTTTTGTATGGGCAGGAGTTTGACAAGGAACATGGAGGTGGTTGGCAATGTGTAGTGGGGTCACATTTCAGTTGTTTCTTCACTCATAGTAAAGGGACCTTCATCTATTTCACCTTGGAGACTCTCAACTTCCTTATCTTCAAAGGCTCTTCTTCTCCCCCACAGTCTCCTTCATGAGGCCAGCCAATACCGAGTAGAGGACAGAATTTCAAATTAGTAATGGTTATAATGGTGTAAATTTACTGCTAGTAAAGTAGCTAAGTAGTCATTAGTTGATCCTTTCTCATTCACCCCACCACATATGAATATATACCTGCTATGTGTGAGTTCAAGTAAAATATAAGCAGCTCAGTTGCTCATCCAGAATCCCAGATAAACATGTTCATTACATGCATGCTTGCTACATTCAAGAAGGTAATTTTCAATTATGAGATATAGTAACAGAAAAAATATACTGATCTGCAATGGTGGTTCTCCAGAGTATTAGTCTCAATCATTTTGGTCTCAATCAGTTAAATGAAAAAGTGTCTTCATTTTGGTCTTCATATTTAATAATGTCAACACAAAAGGATGGGGGAATACAATGTTCAAGTGTAACTCACCACAAAAGCATCTTCAAGAGGTGAGATTTACGCCACACTGCCACAGTTATATGTTACATTCAAACTCAATAGACAACCATTGTGGGATACTTAACGGCCAACATCATACACTTGTCCCGATTATTGCAAATACCACATCTAGAAGATGGATAACCGATTCACGTTGGGCGGGTGAGTATTTTAAATAAAACTTGGGCGATAGATAAACTATACAAGCAAAAATAGATGTCCACAGCAAACTCAGACCACCGGAGTTAGCAGTGGTTTATTAAGAAAGTGAGCCTCTAAGTTCCCAATGACAAGGTCAGCCATGGCCTTGCGTGTTTCCACCGTTCCACTTCCAACATGGGGCAACAAGACCACATTATCAAGCCCAAATAGCTCCTCAGGCACCTCAGGTTCGTTTTCAAACACATCAAGCCCAGCTCCGCCCAACCTGCCTTCAACCAGAGCCAATACCATCTCACGCTCGTCAACGTGTGGACCCCTACCAATGTTGATGAGAACTCCCTGCGGGCCCAGTGCATTGATAACTTCACGGTTGACGATGTGGCGAGTTTGTGGAGTTAACTCACAAGCAACGACTAAAATCTGGCAATTGGAAGCCAGCTCAACCACACTTGGGTAATATTTGTAATTGGTGTTTTGTTTCTCTGTTCTGGAATGGTAGCAGATTGGACAATCAAAAGCTTCTGCTCTCTTCGCAATTGCTAGCCCAATCCTTCCAAGTCCTATAATCCCAACGGTTTTGCCACTGAACTGCAAAGTATGATAGCAATTGATACAGGTATTTAGGGAATGTCCAGAACTCCAGATCATGTAAAATGCTAATGAAGAAAAACCGGTTAGATTACTTTCCTTGATTTGTTTTACCTTGGAAAATGCAGGGTATAATGAAATGTGAATAATGTTTTCCACATATAATTGGGTCTACATATGTTTACTATATATAAATCATAAGTAGATAAACAAAAAATGATTTTAAACAAACACATACAACAACAACCTTCAAGACTTGATACCAAAAGAGTTCGGGGTCAGCTAACATGATATAAAATAATATTATTGAGTATTGGAAACGATGTTTTATTGTTTCTCAATTCATTTTCTTGCGAAATTTCCCCTATATTACCCCTATCTTTTTCCTATATATTGAAAGGAGTTTTAAACGGATCCTTACAAGGAAGGTGAGTTCAAAACTTTCAAACGCTGCAATGAAGATAATTTTTGTAAGAAACTAAATGCCTTCATATCTCAGTGTTTGAAATGACATATTGAACTATTTCGTTTGGAAAATGTGTGACATCAAGCTTATACAAGGATTAATGGGAGATAAAGGGCACCGTGTTTTTGAAAAACCAACCAGAAATTACTAGTTTAACAGCTTCACAAAGCCAGTATGGCAGTATGGTCTTAGGATGGCAGAAGCCTGGACTTCGGTAGTGGTTGGCTTTATTCAATGTTTGTATTATAAAAAATAAATTATACTAGTAATATTATATAAATAAAAAAAATCATTTCCATCCATTCAATTTTCACTCCAACAAGGGCAACAAGTAGTCCAGAAAACAAGTTTTACTCCTAATTAGGGGATTCTCCTAAAACTTATGCTGTGGGGAAACAGAGCAAAAAGAATTGAAAGCGATAGCAAGTGTTGCAATCAGCATACTTCTATTCACCGCAGTTCAAATCCAAATTTACTGACATGATTATTGATGATAGTTGGAGAAGAATTATGTGAACCTTGGTGGTCAGTTTGAAGTTACCCATCTTCCACAATCCTTTCCTCACATGTCGATCGCATTCGCAAATTTTTCTGAGAACTGCCAGCATTAGCCCGATCGCCAGGTCAGCGACGTCCTCCGTCAGAACGTCGGGGGTATTGGTGACCCGAATCCCCTTCTCCCTACACTTGGGCAAGTCGATCTTGTCCAGCCCGACGCTGAAACTAGACACGATCTCCAGCTTAGGAAGGGCGTCAATCAGCTCCGCGTCAGCGCCGACAGCGGCGTTTCCTACAACGGCGCGGATCGAGTTGGCGTTCTCGCTCAGGAATTCGTTCTTCTGCGGGAAGGTCCAGAACCGGAAGAGCTTGAATCGCTTGTCGAGCTCTTGTTCTAAGTACGGGTCCATCGAGCACGACAGCAACACTCCGATACCCTCCATTTTCTGTAGCTACGGCTCCGGTCTAGATTGCGTGTAGGGTTTTGGGCTTTTAGTTGCCCTCTTCTTCTTGAAAAAAGCTATTGGTACCCCCAAAATGGGGGACCCCATTTGTCCCCCACCCTATTGGGTGGCCACAAATGAGCCAACCCATTTAAGTGGGGCCCCACTTAAATGGGTTGGCTCATTTGTGGCCACCCAATAGGGTGGGGGACAAATGGGGGTACCCCATTTTGGGGGTACCTATAGCAAAACTCCTTCTTCTTTGCGGTCACTACAGCTCTATAGTAACTCTGTACTTTCAGCCAGGTGCATTGAATGATTGAACGGTGTTTTACACGAAAATCACATTTTGTGTGTGTTTTTTTGTGTAATATGAAAACTATGACTTTTTTTCGAATTAATGTTAATTAAATAATTATTTACGAAAATAATGCTGGAAAAACCTTATTATCGATCTACTGCTGACCTAAATCATGGTCAGGGGTAAGTCACCCAACGGTTTGGCGACTTATAAGTCGCCCAACCGTTGGGCGACTTACCCCTGAAATATGGTTGTAGGCGAGCAGCTACTGCCAGCCACGCACGATCGTGCGTACCGTGAGACGCACGATCGTGCATAGGTCCGAAAACAGCATTTCAGCAGATTTTTCGCTCTAGTTCAACCCGGACTAATCTGTTTGCTATAAATAAGGTCTCTCTTCTCTTGTTTAAGTGTTACGAGTCAGATACAACACATTATAAAACATACAACACACGTCTTCACAATCACATACATAACACCTACTCTCATCAACATAAAAAACACCTTCAAAATACCCTTTACAAATCAAATACAAAAACTTACATTCATAACTGGTATAACACAGTACAATCATCCAATATTCATAACAAGTAATCAGCTAATATTCATACTTGAACACATCAAGACAACATACAAGACTTTACAAGAGAAAATACGTCAAATGTTGTAAATTGTTCCTACAACATCTACACCATAATAAAAACTACAATACTATAGACAAACTACAAGTTCCCATCATCAGCTTCGTCATGAAGATGTTGCTGCTCATGTCTACGCCTACGCCGTTGTCGTGGTTGAAGAACCACTCTCTCATGCTGCGTCTGGGATGATGAAGCCGCCGCTGCACTAGACGTGGATGGCATCTCCTGAGATGGGGGCATGTGTATAAGATGGCCGTAGTTGACTCGTCCCAACACATCTGAACACAAGGAGGCAATGCCTTTCAGAGTTTGTCCATACATGTCCACATCATGACTATCAGTCACTGTGGTAGTAGCCCGCTGATGTATGCGCTGCAAAGCTCGTGTTTGAAATATGAAACACAATTACAGTTACATAGAAATACATACAAATATTAAATAAATAAAATGGCTTACTTTACTAATTACTAATATACTCGACGTAAGATGCAAAGCCAATGAGCTAGGCTGATAATGATGAGTAGGGAGTCTGAACGAAGGAGACACAAACAAACGAGTGATGCTGTAATACCATCCCATATAGTCTCCTGAAATAGATGGGACAAATGTCGGTGTCCCAGCCACAACTAGCTCAGCTCGCCTCTCCCACATAGTGACGTATCTGACATGTCTGAGTGCCCAATCCTCTGTATGCTTCCCACGCCTATCCAGCCTATGCAACTCAACATAAGTGTCGATAGGCCGTGGAATGACCTGCTCAAACCCAAACTGTCGCAACACTCCATCAGGCAAATGAAGCTCAACAATGTCAAAACATATCAACGACACACGTGCTCGCCATATGTGAGTATGTTCTCGTCCAGCTGGGGGCAACTCTGCCAACATGTCAGGTGTAAACGGCATCCATGTGATCTGTTTCATAAAGATACAAAAGTTAGTATTTATTCTATACATATTATAGTTAATGTTATATAACCCACACCATACCTGATCCTCAGACATCCGATCAAATGCATCTCTGTACACACCGAGCCCAGTAGCGGATGACATGCGAGATAGACCAGCATATAACCATCTAAGCATTAATGTAACAGTATCATTAACATGGATGTTATAAATATATTTGCATTGAACATACAATCACATTAATACCAACGATTGAAAACATACCGACGGCCTAGAGGGTCCTCGCCACGCACATGATGTGGTCCATGAGAAACCATGACAAAGCTGGTTCTACCACCTTCAATGCATATTTGCCCAGCATCCTCATAATAGTTCACTCCCCAATGACATATGATTGGGAAGCTTGAGAAATCCATATTCTAATAACAATACATGTCCAATTTTCATGAGTACACATTAATATACACACTTTATACACATTCAAATTTTAAATAGAAAAAACTACCTACATTGTAATATACCCAAGTGACAAAATTCACAATCAATTCACATACTAATTACTAAAATACCCAAATGTTGATATCTACATTGAAGTCTACATTTCAATACCCAAATTTAGCAACATTCAAATCTACCCAAATTTCAAAATAAACAATTAAATTTACAAACAATTTCATATCAAAATTCAACATTTCATACATATTCACATTACACAACAAATCAATTCACAAATGAATTCCTAATTTACAAAATCAAATTTTCAATATTCAAAACCCTAACATGAAAAATGAGATAAATTGGAGAGATTTACTTACCTAGAGTGTTGAAGAAGATGGAGATGAAAGATTATTGGCAAGATGGAGAAGACCTCGCCGTCACCGAAGCTCGAGATTCGCCGGAGATGGAGCTGCAGCCGTCGTCGTTCTCGCTTGAGTTCTATTCGCCACAGAGTATAAGCTTTTGGATTCGTTCTGCTTTCTGTTCTGTGGCTAGGCGGTGGCCGATAATTTTACTTAAGGGTAAGTCGCCAAACCGTTTGGCGACTTATAAGTCGCCCAACCGTTGGGCGACTTATAAGTCGCCAAACGGTTTGGCGACTTACCCCGACCATGGTTAACCCAGCAGTATATTGGTAAATACTTTTAACCCAACCCTGTTTTCGTAATTATTTAATTAATTAACATTAATACGGAAAAAAACTCGAAAACTCTACAGATTAAGAATATGCTCCAACAGATTAAGAAAACAAAAAAAATTGAATAAAACATATGCTCAAACAGATTAAGAAATGATGATAATAATTGTTGATCATGAATAGTTGGAAGATGTCTAATTCAATTATATATCCACACTCCTCTTGAATGCTCATCTTTCAATCATTTGTGGATATTATTTGTATCATTAAAACCTTTAGGTTTTCATAATGAGATGAAACCATAATTAAGTGGAGAAAACACAACATTTGATTCCATAATACTATAATGTACTAACTTATTAAAAATCTTGCCAGGATAAATTTAAGTGGGATAAAAAATGAATGCAGGGAAAATAGTGCACTGCATAATACTCCTCAATTTAACATATATCTCAAATACGACATGTTCCAATGTCATGAACAAGTTCTTCAAAATTATTTGCCATCAATGATTTTGTGAATAAATCGGTAGATTTTGTCGAAGGACGTGATTTGTTTAACATCAACTGTTACTTCTTTTCAAGATTATGTGTGGAAAAAAGTTTTAGTGCTATATGTTTTGTTATATCCCCTTTGATGTAACTTTATTTGATCTGAGATATACATGTCGTGTTGTCTTCATAAATCATAGTGGGATCACATGCAAAAGTATTTGAGTGGTTACAATTCATTGTAATTTTATTCACACTTTTTCAATTCTATATAATTACACAATTCTAATTTTTCTGAGAACCCGCACCAACCTCTTTGTCCCAATCTTAGGATAGAGGTAATACTTGGTGAACAAGTAAAATAACTTATCCACTAATTTACTGTCATGCGCACACACGTAAAACTAATTGGGGAGAGAATAACTGATTGATTGAATATTCTTGTACGACTTTTATCCTTTGTGTACTGAAATGACCACAAAAATCACACGTGTAAGTATAGGAGTTTTTTCCCGTATTAATGCTAATTAATTAAATAATTACGAAAATAGGGTTGAATTAATAATATTTACCGATACACTGTTGGGCTTAACCCTGGTCGGGATAAGTCGCCAAACGGTTGGGCGACTTATAAGCCGTCATCCGGTTTGGTGACTTATAAGTCGCCCAACCGTTTGGCGACTTACCCCTTAAACAGAAAGTCGGGTTGGGCATTCCAGACAGAACGCAAATAACCCCAAACCCTCTGCAGCGACGAGCGGCGAAAAAAAAACTCCAACTCCGGCGAAGCTCCTTCTTCGACGAGCGACGATGAGGCCTCCCTATCTTGTCAATACTACTTCACTTCCATCTTCTTCAACACTCTAGGTAAACAAATATCTCCATTTTATCTCATTTTTCAAGTTAGGGTTTAGAATCTAGAAAATTCGATTTTGTAAATTAGGAATTCATTTGAGAATTGATTTGGTGTGTGATGTGAATATGTATGAAGTGTTGAAATTTGATGTTCAATTCGTTGTCATATACAATTTTTTTAAAAAAAAAATAAGTATTATTGTTTCCCAAATTGAACAATTTGATGTTCAATTTGATTTTTTTTATACATAAGTATTATGTGCAATGTAGATTTAAAGTTTGTTTCCGCATTGATGCTAAAAAAACTCAAAAATTTGAATGTAATATTTTTTTAGAATTTAATGTTTTCCCATTGTTAAGTGTGTAGATATCATATATGATTTGCTTAATATGGTGTGATGTCTATGAAATGATTAATTTGGGTGTATAAAGTGTGTATATTAATGTGTACTCATGAAAGTTGTACATGTATTGTTATTATAATATGGATTTCTCCAACTTCCCAATCGTGTGTCATTGGGGAGAGAACATATCTGAGGATGCTGGCCAAATACGCCATGAAGGTGGTAGAAGCAGCTTTGTCATTGTTTATCGTGGCGCATGTTTGCTCGAGATGCTGTAAAAAAATCATGTAGCTACACAGATTCCTGTGAGCCGTTCTTTGCGTTTGAAAATGAAATTTCCCCTTAACGGGTGATCATACATGCTTATGCCACTTGATGATGAGCTAGATGTCACAAATATGTGGTTGATACTGCAGATGCAGAGTATGTCCATGCTTGAGATATAAATTGAGGAATGCATAGGTGACGCTTCTACTACTCCCTCAACATCAAATGTTGTTGTATCCAGGCATGGTGTCAATGCAGAGGACTCGTCAAATGCTGCTGTACTGGACATGGTTGTAGAGGAAGAGGGGAGGTATTTGCACAATGGTGCATCATTTTTTGGATGACCAGAGAACTGATGACGACGACGATGATGATGACAACAACATCAATGATGATGAAATGACTGAATCTGATGAAGATGATGGTGATACTGTCACTGCAACTGCTCCATCTAGCCACTTTACTAGACTGTATGATCTCCCATCTGGTGGGCGTGGCCTCGATGTTCAGGTGGATAGGTGCCGCGAGCACATCCGTGGTTTGCGGCAGGTGGATGACAGAGTTGTTCTTCAACCACGACAGCGGCATAGGCGTAGGCATCAACAGCAACATCTCCATGACCAAGACGGTTAAGAAGACCATAAGAACTTGTAGTTTGTCTTTTGTATTGGAGTTTTTCATGTACACTGAATGCTGTAGAAACAATTGACTTTATTTTACATATTTCCACCTGCAAACAATTGAATATTGTGTTATTAGTACTTATTCCTTTGTTTATGATGCGTTGATGTGGTTCATTATGAATATTGAATGGCTGTATGTGTTTTATTGGTTATGAATCTTATGTGTTGTATGTTATTTGTAACTGGTATGTTACTGGTGATGTATGTGTTTTGTTAGCAAGTTTTTTATGTTCTAAATTGGTAGAGAACTAGTTGTTTGTGATTTGGCGGGTGCAGGAGGTAAGTCGCCAAACCGTTTGGCGGCTTATAATTCGCCATCCGGTTAAGTCGCCAAACGATTTGGCGACTTTGCCAGACCCTGGTTAAACCGGCAGTAGATTGGTAAATATTATTAACCCAACATTATTTTCGTAATTAAGTAATTAATTAGCATTAATTCGGAAAAAAACTTTGAGTATAGAAGCTGGCATATGTGGAACCGATTTCTATCTTTCCATCTTCAAAAACAAAAAGAAAATAATTTTAAATAATACTAAGTAGTACACACAAATCAATTATGTTGGAATAAATCCGATAATACCTTAATATTCATATTGGAATTATCTAGAGAATTAACTGAACGGAAGCATACCTGACTCCATTGGAGATGATCTTTAGAGATCCAGGAGACGGAGGCTATGGTTTGCGTCTTCTAGTTGATACACACTCTCGGGAATTATCTCTCTAGCGATGGAATTCAGAAAGACGGAATGACGTGTTCAACTAGGGACCATAACCCCTATATTTATAGAGAATGTTTAACCCTAATCAGCCCATCATTAATTAGGTTAAGCCAATGAGTTTCTACACATTTGGGCCCCATACCTTTTTAGATAACTTATTAGTCCACTTAAATTAATATCCATAGGACCACTAATTTTTGGGCCTAAATTAAGATATCATATAACATACAATTAAACCGAATAAATAATATATTGTGAATATTACATGTAGTACGAGTCCAATAATCTAACAATCTCCCACTTGGACGATACACACATGTATACACAATCCTTAGTATTGTATGTTTACTTTAGGAGCTCCAGAATTTTGCTATCAATCCGGTCCATTAATTATATCAACATAGGACCAAAGAAGTCTTTGCTATATTCGCATAACTAGACCCATCAATGATCACATATATTTAATATAATAAACAATATGGATCAAGTATAGGTGTGTTGCGTGGAAATAACATGAAGTGTGGTCTGGAATAGAATGTCTATTTCCAACTGGTCCACCTTGAGATCAATAATGTAAATGTAAGAGTACATAAAACTTTAGACTTTAAACTTTTAAACTTTATTCTCTAGAAAATGTCCTTAAAAACTGAATTAACCAAATATAAAAACATTACAAACTCCCACTAAAACTCATAATCCTCAACTGATTTGACACCCATTTGAGCGACATGCTCGTGAAACACTTAAGGTGGCAATCCTTTAGTGAGCGGATCCGCAATCATGGAGTTTGTGCTAATGTGTTCTATAGATAATTTTCCTTCTTGTACTCGTTCATTAACAGCCTTAAATTTGACCCCAATATGTTTTGCCTTTGTCAAACTGCTGTTATTCTTAGCATAGAGGACTGCCGACCTATTGTCACACAATAGCTTAAGTGTTTTTTCAATGCTATCCACTATGCGCAGTCAACTAACAAACTCTCGCAGCCATAATGCCTAATTGGATGCCCCGTAACATGCTATAAACTCTGCTTCCATGGTGGAAGCTAAGTAATTGTAAGAGTTTGATTGATACTCCTCCAGGAGATAGCTCCTCCTGCCAGAATATAGATGTATCCTGAAGTGGATTTCAAGTTATCTTGACATCCAGCAAAATCAGAGTCTGTATACCCAATAATCTCAAGCTGTTCCAATCTCCGATATGTGAGCATATATTCCTTTGTTTTCTGTAAATACCGCATGACCCTTTTAGCTGCTTTCCAATGGTCCATTCCCGTATTGCTCAAATATCTGCCTAACATCCCAACAATGTATGTTAAATCAGTTCTTGTACACACCTGAGCATGCATCAAACTTCCTACAACCGAAGCATAAGGAATGTTCCTCATTTCTTTAGATTCAAAACCATTCTTAGGACACTGCACAAGACTAAACTTGTCTCCGATAGAAACTGGGGCATCATCTGGTTTGCAGTCTTGCATACCAAACCCTTTGAGAACCTTATCGATATAGTTCTTTTGTGACAGTCCAAGAACGCCTTTGGAGCGATCTCGGTGTATTTGAATTTCTAATACAAAAGAAGCTTCACCAAGATCTTTCATTTCAAAATTCTTTGAAAGAAATCTCTTAAATTAGTTTCGTGCAATAAGCCTCTATTGTTGCTAGCAAGCAGTATGTCATCAACATACTAGACCGGGAAAATATGTTTACTCCCACTGAACTTGTGGTATATAAAATCATCACTGACATTTGGTTGAAAACCAAAAGATATAATGACTTTATGAAACTTGTGATATCACTGACGAGAAGCCCGCTTGAGCCCGTAGATGGATTTCTTTAATTTGCAAACCATTTCTTTGGATCACCCGAAACAAAGTTTTCTGGTTGCTCCATATAGATTGATTCCTCAATGTCACCATTGAGAAATGCAATTTTCACATCCATCTGATGAAGCTCAAGATCAAAATGTGCCACCAATGTCATTATTGTTCTGAAAGAGTCTTTCGAAGATACTAAAGAGAAAGTTTCTTTATAGTCAATTCCTTTCTTTTGAGTGTAGCCTTTTGCAACAAGACGAGCTTTAAACCTTATAACATTGCCCTTTGAATCCCTCTTGATTTTGAATATCCATTTACTACCAATGGGTTTAATACCTTCAGGTAATGAGACTAGCTCCCAAACGTCATTGTCACTTATAAAATTCATCTCATCTTTCATGGCATTAATCCATTCTTGAGAGTTAGAACTTTCCATGGCTTGACGGAAGTTGATTGGATCATCTTCCACAAAACCAACATCTGATTCTTGTTCTTGGAGGAAGACAATTATTTCTTCCACCAAATCCCAATTTTCCTCATGTTCTTGGAGAAATACAATATAATCATCCAGAATTATACTTCGCCTCTCTCGAGTGGATCTCCATAATGGCACCTTAGGTTCTTGAGGTTGTTGAGTTTGATCCTCATTAATAATTTTAGGTACTTGATTGGGGATGTTTCCGAGATTGTCCTGAACTGGAGTTGTTTCTTGAACATTATTAGGAATAAAAATATCTTGATCATGTTCAATGACAACTGAAGGAAGAGTAACATGCTCTTCCTCAAGGACAAAAACTCTAACCTTATCTCCCCACCCCCAAACTCAATATCCTCAAAGAACCGGGCATTACCCGTCTAAAAAATAGTCCTGGCAGTGGGATCATAAAACTTATACCCCCTTGACCTCTCAGAGTATCCCACAAAATAACTACTAATTGTTCTAGAGTCCAATTTTTTTTCCATTTGGCCTATAAGGTCTTGCCTTAGCTGAACAACCCCAATCATGGAAATGATTTATACTGGGTATCCTTCCAGTCCAAATTTCATAAGGGGTTTTAGTTGTAGCTTTTGTTGGAACTCTATTGAGTATGTAAGCTGCAGTTTTCAGTGCTTCTCCCCAGAGTGAATCTGGTAAAGTAGTATGACAAATCATACTCCTAACCATGTCCTTCAATGTACGATTTCATCTCTCAGCAACACCATTCATGCTAGGAGTTCCTGGCATGGTGTACTGAGGAACAATTCCACACTCCTCTACGAATTTAGCAAATGGACCTAAACGTTGTTCACCGGAACCATCATATCTACCATAGTATTCACCACCACGATCAGATCTAACAGCTTTTATTCTTTTGCCTAATTGATTTTCAACTTCGGCCTTATAAGATTTGAACACGTATATTGATTGGGACTTTTCATGAATGAGATAAAGGTAACCATAACGAGAGTAATCATCTATGAAAGTGATAAAATATGTTTGACCATTTCTACATGGTGTAGGGAATGGTCCACAAATGTCTGTATATATCAATTCCAATAGATATGAAGCTCTCTTGGCACCTAATCTCCTTTTGTTCGTGTGTTTTCCCTTAACATACTCAACACAAATATCCGAATTTGAGGAGTCAAGGGAATCAAGAATTCCATTTGACACAAGTCTCAGTATACTTTCTTTAGAAATATGTCTTAAACGCTTGTGCCAAAGTGATAATGAATTCTCATTGGTTAATTTTCTTTTAGTACCACGAGTACTTACATGAAAGGTTTCATTATACGAGATAATTATATCAAGTGAATATAGATTATCATAAACTGATAAAAGACCGGTACCAATAAGTTTTGAATCTTGAAATAGACTGAATTGATTATTTCCAAATGAACAAGAATAACCAAATTTGTCCAATGCAGGAATAGAAATTAAATTCCGTCTAAATGACGGTACAACAAAAGTCTCTTTCAAATCCAAATAAAAAATCAGTCTTTAATAATAATCTAAAAACACCGATAGCCTCAACTTCAACCCGTTTGCCATCATCGACATAGATGTATCTTTCACCATCAATTGGTTTTCGGCAGCTCAGGCAACCCTGCATAGTTACACTTATGTGAGTAGTAGCACCGAAATCTACATACCTACCGAGTGTCCTTGGGTACCGAACAAACAAGAGACATACCCTTCTTCGCACGCCTGACGTGGTACTTAGTGCAACCCTTTTTCTTGTGACTAGTCTCTTTGCAAAAGAAGCATCCAGATTCCTTAGTTTCCTTATAATGCTTTCTTTGAGGCCTTGAATTTACAGTTTCCCTAAATTTCCTTTTCTTGCTGCCCTTAGAGGTGGATGCCAATTGAGCACTTTCAGTCCTATCTTGCTTTATTCTCTCTTCCTCTTGAACACAAAGAGAAATGAGCTCATTGAGAGACCATTTCTCCTTAATGCAGTTGTAACTGACTTTAAATTGATTAAATTGAGAAGGAAGAGAGATCAAAACTAAATACACAAGCAAT